AAGCCAGGCAGGGTGAGCATCAGCAGAGGCTGCTCCCGCCGGCCTTACCCTCAGCCCCGTGACCATGAGAAAACCCCTCCAATGCAGACAGGGAAGGTCCCAGGATGCAGTGGGGAGAAGTTCCAAGTGAAGGACTGAAATAGTTGTACAAAGTCCATGACAGAGCCATCCCATGGGGGTTGCTTTTACGTGAGCTGTTTCCTGCTTCACTGTCAGAGGCCGGCTCTGGCACAGTCGTCTGCCTGAGCTCCCCGAGGAGGGGGAGGGCGAGGCAGCTTCAGGCTCACCTCCCCCGGGGCTGGCTGGGCCGAGCCTATCGCCTCCATCACCATCATCAGTGAGAGAGGACCCCCTAGCTCAGCAGGCCACTTCATAACCAGCCAGTTAAAGACGCTGCTCGGATTGTGCCTCTGCCCTAACATTCTTCAGCATGTTTGCCAAGAGGAGCAGCGGGAACGCTTCCCCCACAAAGAAAGAAGTGAAATAGCCCCACTTTCCCCCGTGTTATCAGAAAGAAGCCTGTCTTCAGGGAATCATGTTGACTTAGGTTGCTGAAAGAACACGTTACATAAAACAGAAAGTTCACCTAAAAAAATATATATAAAAAGAACAATTCTCAGACTCTGTTATTGTGCGCATAAAAGGAAACCACATCATCTTTGAAATCAAAAACACGACGCGATCTGTTTGAAAATGAGGAGCGGAGGACTGCATCTGCTCAGGAGCATTTTTTTAGAGAAGGAAGCAGAAAGCCCCACTTTCCTGATGAAGATAAATGCCCCCAGGCCAGCGATACGGGCGGGCCCGGCGGCCGCGGGTGACCGGGCGCTGTCCTGTCTTGCAGGTGTGACGCCGGCTACACAGGCCCGCACTGTGACAAGAAGGACTACAGCGTGCTGTACGTGGTGCCCGGGCCCGTGCGCTTCCAGTACGTGCTCATCGCGGCCGTGATCGGGACGGTGCAGATCGCCGTCATCTGCGTGGTGGTGCTGTGCATCACAAGGTCAGTGCTGCGCCTCCGGGGGGGACGCGCTGTCCCCCCGTCGCCATCAGATCGGTGATGCCCGGGCCCCTCCTGGACTCGGCAGCCATGTCTCCATCACCGCGGCGGTGGAATAGCCACATGGAGAGACACTGGTTTTCCTGCTGGCATAGCACCAATTCTTTCTCTTGTTTTTGCATTTTGATGAGGGTAATTTATTTTCTAAGCAAAGGGCTTTTTCCTCTCAAATGTGTAATGAAACTTTGTTTAAATATACTCTTCAGCCCTAGCCGGTCAGGCTCAGTGGATGGTGCGTTGGCCTGCGGACCAGAGGGTCCCGGCTTTGATTACGGTCAAGGGCACAGACCTCGGTTGCAGGCTCCAGCCCGGCCCGGGTCCTGGTCAGGGTTCGTGCAGGAGGCAACCAATTGATGTGTTTCTCTCACATCAATATTTCTCTCTGTCTTTCCCTCCCTCTTCCACTCTCTCTAAAAATCAATGGAAAAATATCCTCGGGTGAGGATTTAAAAAATAAAAAATGAATATACTCTTCTATTTCAGCTAGAAAAGTCAGTCTTTATTGACACTATTAATAGACTATTTAATAACTGACCAGTTTTTCCTTCCTTATCTAGATCAGTATGCTGAGTGAGGTCAGAATAGATTTTAAGCAAGGCTTAGAAAAGCATTAAATTATGTCTCTCATTTATATTTCCTAGTGTAACTCTTAGATATAATCATTTTTCACACATTTGATATAAACAACAAATACATTTTTATCTTAAGTTAACAATATAGCCTTTAATTACAAAACTCAAAGAAAATAGTCCAAATGAGAAAAGTCATGTTCTAGAACTGTGGTCAGCAAACTGCTGCTCGTGAGCCACATGTGGCTCTTTGGTCCCTTGAGTGTGGCTCTTCCACAAAATACCATGTGCGGGCGCGCACATACAGTGCGATTGAAACTTCGTGGCCCATGCGCAGAAGTCGGTTTTCAGCCTGGGCAAGTCTATTTTGAAGAAGTACTGTTGATATTTGGCTCTGTTGACTAATGAGTTTGCTGACCACTGTTAGAACATGGAAACTTTTGATATCTAGAAATGTGCAGCAAATATCAAAACCCTCAGAGCAATCAAATGGTCACTGCTTCCCAGAGAGCAGGATTGCGAGAGATGCAGAGATTTCATCCAGTTTCAACGGGAAAGAAATCATGATTAATTAGTGATGCCTGACATTGGGCTTGGAGCAAAGGAACAGGCCAGGCACTTGCTTAGCTTGACGAGCATATAAATCCACGGTAACCAAGAATCCGCTTCTAAACCAGAGGCACAGGGTTTATGTCCCATCCCGCAGAAACACTATTGAAGATATTTCTTTCAGCCCTGTTTCCGCTCCTGGAGAAAAAAGTTCTTATGAAGTTTTCAAGGTTTTTCCCAAATTCACAAGGCATTTAGACTGTCATGTGTTTGCACAGCTCTACTGTAAATCAGAATGTTTCCCCAGAAATTCTTTTCGAAAGGGAAGAAAATGAAGGACAGTATCATATCTTTAGAAAATAAAGGCCATAACACATCGCAGTCTCTGTTTTGCACTATCTTCTTGAGGACAAGTGTGGCATTTTGCTCTTGAAAAAGACAAAATACGGTTCATAAATCCTTGCTCGGCCTAAAGGCTTAAGGAAAGATCATCGGCTGGAGCTCTGTGCCACTCTGAGCCAAGCCGAGTTCATCAACGGACTCGCTCTTGTAGATGCCAAGTGAGTCGGTGGATTATGTCAAAATAGATTCTGGGGAACAGAAGGATGACTGAAGAAACCAAAAACACTGAGTAGAAAAGAGAAGATAGGAAAGAATCTAAAACACAGCAGACTACACCATATTACTCTGAGGGTTTTGAGCTTCCTAATAGCTAAGCAATATTGACATATGAAAAACAAAATTTATATTTAGTAGATCTAATCCGATAACAATTGAATTTGTTACTTCCTGTACTCACAAAAAATGAGAACGTTAAATACTTTAGCAGATGTTTTTAAGTCTGTTTTTAATCACATTTCCATTCCCATACACAATAAACACAACTGGAATACATAGGGTCCTTAGCTCACCAGGAATTGTGTGTATTTATATTATGTGTGTATATCATGTATGTGTATATACACATATACAAAAAAGAGAGAGAGACATACGTTTAATAGCATTATGAAGAAGGCATAATTATCCCTACTTTCACAAAAGGGGCTCTGAGGTATGAGAAGTTAGCAATTTGCTGAGTATACACAGCTGAACAATAGGGCGGAAATGGAGGGCTGCCTAGGGTCAGAGCCCGTGCACTTACCCACTGCTCACCCTGCCCCCTGGCTGGTCACGATGTCCCATATTCCGATGGTCACAGCAACCTCAACTCGGCTGCAAATTAGAGCAAGCCACTTCTTCAAGGCATGAGGTCATTATCATTATCTGTGTTAAAACAAACAAAACTTACCTTCTGTTTACTTTTGAGGAAGAGAAATAGCACATGAACTCAATTAGCATTATTGTAATGCCTTGTATAAATCTGTCTTATGATAGCCAAGCCTTCCAAAATCTTTCCAGGAGTCAAACTAGTCAGCAAACTACACTGTTCCCAGAGTGGATTATTTCAATCACTTGAAAATATTCTGCTCAAAAACCAGGCTTTCCAACTAGCCCCCCCACTCCCCCCTGCCCCACACACACACCAAACCCTCCCTTCTTGGTAACCTGGACACATGTGTGTGTCAAGATCTACTCCAAAATATCCAGTTGCTAAGAGATTTAAAATATTTCACCAAGCAGAGATCCCTTCCTTCTTTCAGTTGTTTTAAAATCTCTTCATCACCTGGCTTCTCCTGTTTTTTTCTTCCTTTTCTCCTCATCCCACATGCCTTTTTGTTCTGATTTCTTCCCCCTGTTTTTACTATTTTAGTCAAGCACCTGCCCTCCTCCTAAAGTCAACGTTTTATTAAAAAATATAAACATCTAGAGACACGAAAGAGTTGCTCTGTTGAGAAGATGGGTTTTCAACCTTTTAATCTCTGGCTCCCACTTGCTAAAATGTGACTCCCAGCTCCATGTTCATTTTGATAGCTCTACCATCCCCCTCCCCAAAAGAACCATATAAGAATCATATTTATAATATATAGTATATATATATATATATATATATATATATATATATACACACACACACACACACACACACACACTCTGGTACCCACAGCTTATTATGATAGGATTTTTATCAACTTTACGTTGTTGTTCTCATTTGCATCATCAAAGCATTCTTGTATTACAAGAAAGAGATACTAGATCAGAGCTTTTCAGATAATTTGAATATTAGCTTTTCAAAGAGGCTAAATAATTGGTACCAATTTATGTCCTTAGCATATAGTATTAATGTGAAAAATGATATTAGGCTGAACCAATATAATGTTTCTTTCCATTATATGTCAGATATTAACACTTGGCTCATTCTCTGGTTTGATGGGATTTAAACTTGCAGCATGGAAATGTCAATAACATTCATCCTTAGGACATTTCAAGTATAAAATTGTCAAAGACCTTTAAAGTGAGATTAGAGAGGCTCACGATTTGTTTGATTGCATGTGCTGAGTCATTCTTTGTGCTTTGATGAGTCAGCAGTTGAAGACTAAGTAAATGTTTTTCTCTTCAACTCCCACTTCTGTTCTTCAATGCTCCTCAACAAGAACCTCAAAGATGACTGCAACTTGGCCGTGCTGCTAGTAAATTCTTTCCTCTGATCTATTTTAATAACTTCCCTCTGTGATTGTAGGACCAAACTGTAGGTGATAGCACTGGACTAAGTTTGTATACTTTCCAACCTTCTAGGAAATGCCCCAGAAGCAACAGAATTCACAGACAGAAGCAGAACACAGGGCACTACAGTTCGGACAACACAACGAGGGCGTCCACACGGTTGATCTGAAGGGAGCATGTCGCACAGTGAGTGGCCGGACCGCCGAGAGCTTGGACTACACATACAGTATTCTAGACAAAAGAGTAAGACAAGAGATCTACACATGTTGCCTTGCATTTGTGGTAATCTACACCAATGAAAACACGTCCTACAGCTATATTTGATTATGTATGGATATATTTGAAATAGTATACATTGTCTTGATGTTTTTCTGTAATGTAAATAAACTATTTATATCACACAATATAGTTTTTTCTTTCCCATGTATTTGTTATATATAATAAATACTCAGTGATGAGAAAAAATGGCATTCTTAAATTTGCGGTACCTCATAACTGTCAATACGATCAAGCCAGTGCGATCTGTGCAGGCCCAGTATTTCATCTCTCTCCACATTTTGAGGCAGAGCATTCGTTTATACAGGACTCAGTGGCTAGGTTTTGAGTGATTCCAAGACCAAGGGAAATAGTGGTTATTGGAAAAGAGAAAAAATAATTTACTTTATATTGAGTGAGGATAAAATATTTCAGATCTTTGAATCATCTCTATTTTATCAACTTTCTTCCCTGGCCCTCCATTTTCATCCCCAGAACAGAAAAATCTCTGGCATATAAATTCAATCAAGAAGAAGGGAAAGGAAAGTGTTTTATCACTCATAACAGAGACGGGGAAGCATTTATTGGTTTTTATTTGCGAAGCATCTCAGAATCTCCCAGTTAAGTGCACATATCCAAGGGTCCTGAACAAGTTACATGTTAGGAATACACAGAGCACACAATCTATTCCATTTACGGGGTGGAATTAGCAACTATGGGAAAATTTTAATAACACCATTAAATGTGAAACCCCAAAATCATGAATTCTTTGAAGCCCCTTGCTATCTTTGTAGTATATAGTTCTTTAAAAAGAAGTTGGAATCACAACCAAATACCTCATGAATAGTTTATGATTAATGTAGCACTATTATTTGAAATGAAATGGAACTAAAGTGATGAAAATCCTATATAATAAAAGGCTAATATGCAAATCAACCAAACAGCAGATCGACTGGTCGCTATGATGCACACTAACCACCAGGGGGCAGTTTCTCAATGCAGGAGCTGCCCCCTGGTGGTCAGTGCACTCCCACAGGGGGATCGCCACTCAGCCATATGCCGGGCTCATGGCTGGCAAGCACAACAGCGGTGGTGGGAGCCTCTCCTGCCTCCATGGCAGCGCTAAGGATGTCTGACTGACAGCTTAGGCCTGCTCCACAGTGGACCTAAGCCATCAGTTGAACAACCCTTGAGGGCTCCCAGACGGCAAGATGGCGCAGGCCGGGCTGAGGGACCCCCCCCTCTCCGAGTGCATGAATTTCATGCACTGGGCCTCTAGTATTTTATATAATAGAGAAATATGTTTTAAACATATTTATATGATGAGATAAAGAAAAAAATGAATCCCATAGCATCTAAAGAGCTTAATTTGCTAAACCATTAAAAGGTGTCAACCTTCATAGGAGGTGGGACTCTGTGAAACCTGTTTAGGTTAGTCATCACTTTGAAAGTGTGAATCCCTTGGCATAGTCATCATTCAGCTGTACCCATAAACCAGTCCTATGCCTCTTGTACAAAACACACTCGGTTTAAACTTCTGCGAGGAATTTTGGTTTGGAAACAGGTGCAGAAATGTAACTAGCTGTGGTCTCCTTTAGCAGACAGGAGTTGTAGCAAGCAAACCCTTCTAAAGGAAGAGCAGAAATGCAAGATCACAGGGCTTAGCAGCCTTAAAAGAAACACCAGTCTCACTGACTTGTACACTTTGTTGGGTGTTCTTGCACAATTTTAATTTTGAAAGCAATTATCCTCATATTGAGTTGAAATTTATTTCTTTATAGTTTCTACCTATGGCTCCTCTTTTTTCTCTCTGGGACAAAGGAATATGAAATATGTATTTAAAATATCAGCTCAGATATCACATTTTCCACCACCACCCCCCACCACAGCCCATTTGCATTTTCTTCTTCAGATGAAACATCCTCAATGTCCTCACCTGAGCTTCATCTGTGATTTCCACACCCACCTAGCACCTGCATCAGCCTTACTTGCACAAACTCTCCTCAGTGAACTTATTTCTTCAGGTGCGGAGTTCAGAATTGCACGGATTACCACAGGTGTGGTCTGACCAGCATAGAATGTAGTCAAACTTGTAGAGAACAATTTAACTGAGAGCCATGATCTCTACATTCAAGTCCTACTGGACCACAGCTTTGCTATGGAACCATGAGCAAGTCATTCCACATCTCAGGTCTCAGTTCTCTTATCACGTCCATCTCTATACAGTGGGGCCTTGACTTACGAGTTTAATTCGTTCTGTGACGGAGCTCGTAACTCATATTACTCATATGTCAAATCAACAGTGAATCTAGTGAGACACATGATGCTGATGTTGTGGTGTTCACTGTGACATTCGCTGCACCAACTAGCAGTGTCCTCAGCCCAGCCTGCCCCCTCTCACAGTCCGGGGGCCCTCAGGGGATGTCTTTGTGATGGCTTAGGCCCGCTCCCCATGGGCCTAAGCCACAGTCTGGCTTCCCTCTGCGGAAGGCAAATGGGCTGATCAGGGGAAGGCACCACCCCCATCACCCCACTGCTGCTGCCACTGCCAGCCGCCGCAGCTGCCAAAGTGTTTTCATCAACATGGACTCCAGTGCCTTCACCATGAAAAAATGACAACGTTCTTTAGGCATTTTCAAGATGTCTCTTTCATAGAATATTACATTCTTTATTTTTTTATCCTCACCTGAGGATATGTTTCCATTGATTTTTTGAGAATGTGGAAGAGAAAGGGAAAGGCAGGCTGGGCTGATGTTGTGGCGTTCACTGCAACGTTCGCTGCGCCAACTAGCAGTGGGGTATCTGAAGCTGGCTCGTAACCCGAATTTTAGCTCGCAAATCAAAGCAAAAAATCGGCCAAGAGACGGCTCGTATCTCAAAAAACTCGTTAGTCGGGACACTCGTAAGTCAAGGTCCCACTGTAATTCCAAGATTCTAGATAGTCACATCCAGTCACCATACATTTACTATTGCTACCTAAGACCACATTCACTATTTTTGCTACTTATCCTAACGTAAAGTCAAAACTCTTTCTAAATAAACTGCTATTAAACCATGTCATTTACTCATTAATTCATTGATTCATTATAC